CGCTTCACTGATCGTTCAAGGCTCATCTCTGACGGTCACACTATACACCCTCCTATCACAAGCGCTAGTGTCAAGTGCTAAATTACTGTAATCCGGACCCGCGACGAGTTTTCGCTCAATTTCGCAATATAATTTGGAACGAGTGAAAATGTACTATTAGCGGATGTTACAAAATATGTTTATTGATAGAAATTGGATAACGGAACATAAATAAAATGAACACAAATTAATTATGCATCTATATATTCTTAAAGTTATTAGACAGAGTATAAGTCGTACGAGTTAACAGGGCCTGAAGGCCTATTTTAGATCTTTAACGGAAATTCTGAAAATATCAAATCGTTCTTAAAATTTTGTTAAAATCGTCTTATTATCTGTCTGTCATTAGAGGCAGTGTCAGGTCCTACTTACGTTGCATCATAAATTTTAGCATTTCTATAATAAACGGTAATTTCGTTTTCGTAGAAATAGAATAGGCCTTCAGGTGTAATGTTAAAATTCTTATGACTATAACACGACTTTTATCCTACTTATCGTACTTGGATTATTAATGAGTTATTAGTTATGAGTTAGTTATTAATGATTTCGTTATATTTTTTTTAAACTAGTTTAAAAAAGTTAATAAGTAATCAATTTAATTCAATACCTAAAGTATGGAGAAAATACATACTTTGGTGATAGAAATAATTAAAACAATGAATTTTCGTGGTTTCTTTACAATTTCTAATGATGATTTGTCAGCTGTTAATTCGGAGGTCATCTATATGAGTAAACTCGCACTTATATGGTAAACATAAATATTATCAGTAAGGAATTTCCGTTCGTAATTATAAATTGAACTAACTGAAGCCAAAGTTTTCCGTTTTATTAAAATTCGTGCGCAAGATTTATCGGCCATGTATATTTATATAACTTTATAGCTTTGTTCACGTTGTTATTAATATGAAAGGAAGTCTCATAAATAATCTACAGAAACTGTCAAATTTCTCTACTTTATTATACACCTTAATCTATTGAGGGTAGAGTTAAAATCATCTGCGTCCATTTTATATATCCTATGTATCGTCGATGTGTGCTATATAATAATAGTATATAATTTAAAAATGGAATGTCGTATAGCTAATTATGACGAGCGATTTGACTAATTTTGGTTCTAAAATTATTTGAAGTTCTAATAATATATCTGGATGACTAAGGAAGGTTTGCAGTATTGCAAGGAAAATAGTAAAGTGACAATTAACTAGATGGGCCGGTGTACTTCGAAAAATTTCCCTATTAGACTAGATACCAAAAACATTTCAAAACTCAAAATCGACTCTACCAAACTCGGCCCTGCCGTTTTCGAGTTGTAGTGAGGCAAACGAACAGTATAATTTCTATGTAAGGATATAGACAGATAAAAATAAAAATAATTTGAAGTGATATTTCAATAATGGCGATCACAAAAATTTTCATTTCATTATTAGGTATCTGTTAGCAAATAGTATAAACTGTATGTTATGTGTATCTTAAAAATACTACAGTTAACAAGAAAGCGAACTTTTATATTTATTGATGGTGTTATCTGATGCCAAAATTAAAGTTTATTTGAACTGGCAATACCTAATATACACCTAATTCCTTTGCCCAATCTTTTCTATAGTCCACATAGAATAGACTCGAAAAAATATCCATCAGCGCTAGGTATCTACTTACTTGGTCATTTTATTTAATTAGGACATTTTTATATCTACAAATTACAATGTCGTCAGAGTACAATATCAACATACAATACCTACGTGTACGAGAATATGACGAAGTAACTTGTAGTTATAAATTGGTATTATTATACATGATTCGTTTATTTATTTCGTTGTTTAAAGGTCGGGCATGATATTTTGGAAGACATCCAAACAAACGATTTCATGCATTGAAAAGAACTTTTTGGTTAGGATAAGGACTGTAAAATCTTTAAAAAACTTAATCTTTTAAATTTGTCATGCGACTTTCGATTTAATAAATATTTTAATTTGACTATTCTCGTTGTTGAATGAACACAATTTTTTGCAGTAGAACAAAATAAGGAGAAAACATTCCTTATTTTGTTCTACTACAAAAAATTACATCAATTACAACATTTTGATAACTATTACCGTTTAAGCTCAGTAACTGAGCGAAAAGTAAATTATACGGAGATTGTATTAAAGAGTAGCTAGTTTTCTATTGCTGTGTTGCTAAGCTGAATCAATAATTATGCTTTTCTTTAATCATTAAAATGCAGGCAACATTTCTTTTAGAGATAATAAAATGGAAAATTGAAAGGAAACCAGCAATATAACTTCTTTCACCATACGGTTTTTCGTACTATGAAAATTACCGGTGATATACTCTAATTATATTCTTGTTTTTGAAATATTTAAGATTATGAAGTAATTTGAGTAGTTTGATTCTCTAAGGTTATTGTAGTCAAAAAGTTGCGTGGTTGTAATCGTGATAATTTGTGATAGTGAGTAATTAATTAATATATAGTGCAAGCAATAAGCCATCGTCTGATTATCTTGAAAAACATAATTTGAAAATATAGCGTTTTTAAGAAAAGGTCGAAATCACAACACAAACTAACAAAAAACTGTCATTAGGAAAGATAAAAAGAATATTTTTTAACAGTTGCCAAAGCAATAATTATACACAATATCTACAATATTCAGTACTTTCAGTGAATTACGTCAGCTGGGGGGAGTGTCTCCAAAATTCTTTACACGAGCGTGTTATTTTGAAACATTGGCTTGTCTTGTATGTTTTGCGAGTTATTTGAAAATGCGCACTAATATAATTCTTTTGTTGTTACTGATCATGACTATCTACATACTTATTATACTATATATACTACTTATTAGAGCCTCGTGACAACTTGTAACAATACATGGATGGTTATTTATGTAACTAGACTGGACATAATGAAGTCGTGCCCACATTTGTTGACATTAAATAAATTTATTTGTGGCAAATATTTACGCGAAGACTACGTTTTCGATATTGTCATAAGATCGATCAGAAGCAAGTGCTAATGGGACGAAGTGTTGAGATTGACTGACGCTCATAAAAATAATATTTTATGATCCATAATCGGAGATATCCGAGATAAGTTTTAAAAGACCGCCATTGTGGCAGAGTCTTCTCTCGTTGAAACTGAATGAATCTATTTGTGGTTTATGCATGTTATATTTTTCGGAGTTTCATTAATAGAAGTTGTTGATGTTCAGAAATTCATTCCGATTGCAACTACGGTGGCAATTCTTTTGGCACAAACTAGACTTTTAGATGGATTGAAAACGGCGTTTTCAATTCTCAGAAATACTAAGAACACAAAAGTAAACTTGAAATTATAAGTCTTGCTAGTATACAGTAGTAAAAATAGTTTTTTTTTTAAATTACACGTGATACAAAAATAATATTAAAATTCAATTACAAATTATACATATTTTTGTTTACCTACATGTTGATTATGACTTAAAAATGAAAATCAATCGTGCCATGGTCATTCAAAGCCGTATTATCATCTAGTTATGGTCGTAGGTACATTGCATCATTAACACTCGTGAGTGGAACTTGCGATCCTTACATACTGGAATTAAATAGGATTTTTGCTATTGAATTTTCAGGTTAAGCATTGTGTAAAAGTTAAATACAAATACCTTTTTTTTATTTAAATTATTTACACAATAAGCTCTATATAATAATACTCAACAGCTGCCGTTTCTTGACCAATTTCATATTCGCAACCAGTTCAATATAGTTCATACGTCAGCCATTGACTAATTTTAGAATTATAGCGTATAGACCTTATTTACACTTTATCACCAACGGTTAGGGTTCAAAATCGTTGACAGTCATCGGTGAACGTAACTGGTTAGTTGAAATAAAAATTAGGGGAACCACACAGATTGCATGCAAAGCAGTCGTCCTGTGCTCATTATAGGTGAGTCATTCTTTCATTATACGGAAGGGGGAACCGATTCCCCTTTAAAAGTCTAGATTCCTGATGTAAATATGGATCATGAGGACTTGAAAATACCTGGTAGCACGCATTATGTTAAAACTTAGTAAAGGTAAAGAAATAATTTATAAATTTAGGCCAGTCAATGTGATAGATTATAGCAATTAATTAATTGTAAAAGATAAATATGCAAGATACCTAAGTTGCGCAAGTTATAATATAATTCAAAAAACTATTGCTATTTCTACAGAAGAACCATTAGCTGCAGTGTTGAAGTAACCACATAATTAATTCTTTCTCTCACGATTCAACATTTTTTTATAAAATTGGCCTGGATATGTCTAATACTGGAAAAATAAATGCTGATGCAAAAAAAAAGAAGATCAAATATAATTTTTGATCACACTTTATTTTCACTCCATTTTGTTATTAAAAATAAATTCATATATATATTTATTAGATATAATGGTGCCTGAATTCTCGATTCCTTGATTGCTCATAACCGGTGTGGCATAACACACTAGTAAGCTAAATAAGGCTGGAGATGCCGGTAGCGTCTGGAAATTTGCAATACGCGATTCTGTGTGCGGGAGCGGTTTATATATAGAGTCTGAAAATAACATCAGTCACGTGTAGGTAAACAGGCGAACGAGCCCCTCAGAAAGACGTATACAGCTAACACTATTTTAATTAGTCATAGTTTTAAGGTTGTTTGCATGACGACAATGTTTAAAAAATATATATATTTAAAAACTAAAGAGCCACCAAACGTAAACCAGCATATATTTGATTGGTTACTCGCAATACAATATTTATTACTTGAATTTTCGTCACAATGTATGTTATAAGTACATAACTTTATTCACAATCATTTGAAATGAGTGATTATGGCTTCCTCTTTAACACTAATTTCGAAATAATATACACGTATTTATATATTATTAGACCAAAACCATTATAAACACTGAAAATTAGAATTTAATGTCCTGTATCAATTTATATATAAGTCTTTATTTCATTACAGAAACCCCAAATGCGGCCGATGATAGCCGAATATGACCCCAAGAAAAAAGGTGTCAGAAATGATTTATCCGATGTCGTCATGGTCAAGTAAGTAATAATTGTTCCAACTCATTTCTTCATAAGGATCACACATAAAAAAAAATAATCATCGACTTCGCTTCGACTGCATATGTGTTGTCAATAATTTTATTGATTTTATCTGGTGCCACATTCGGCAGATTTTTATTTACCGCTTGTTAAATTAGAAATAAAAATCAAAACTGAAGCATGCATCACAGCTTAACATCATATTTATGTTTTGCAAAATTTACATGTGTGTGAATTATCGAATAAACCTTGAAACTAATAATATTGACATTTTTGTTCAACAGGAAATTGAAAAGAAAATTTATGATTAAAATAAAAAACTTTTTTCGCCTTTTTTTATCGGTATCAATTTAAATTTAATTGTTTATACACTTTCTAAGGTGCTATTATCAATCAGATTTTCGAACTTTGTTTGTATTCATTGACAATAATATAAAATTGCCGTGGTATTTTATATTGTATGTTGACTGTTAAGTACTCGCTCCTTTAACGAGCTAATATGCTCGACGCCGTTCGGAGACGATCCGGGAAGACGTGTGCTGCTTCCACGAGATTAAAGTCATTCGTCGACCTTGATCATCTTGCAATGGACTCATACACCGGTACATCATTCCATTTTATGGTTTCAATTTTGTTTATATAATTTGTTTTGTTTTGTTTTGATAAATTTAAAGTATTATGGTGGATACCCGCAGGCGCTGCGCCTTGTTGGCGCGGAGCAGTGACGGGCCCCGTGCGCCATCTCTGTTCAGGCTCGGGATTGGCCCTAGAGTCGGACAATTGTACAAATTTGATTTAGCTTTATGTATTCGATATACTTCTCTCTATCTTCTCTTGTATTTCATTATTTACAGTTTACCCTGTGGGCGGAAATAAATCTCGTTGTACAATTTCCTTGATGCGTACATGAAAAAAGTAATAAACACAAATTTAAGTAAATACAATTAAGTTTCCACGTAAAGCTGTATTGAATTTAACGGTGGGCCATCGTTTGTAAATGCCGAGTCTTAACAGAGTGAAACGCACAAAAAAGAAATAATTATGTACATTATTCTGGAGACCATAATGAATGTATCACACTTCACACATGAACACTGACACATAAGTAGTAATTCGCTTAAGAGTACAAGTAGCTTCATCCGCGATTTACTTGTTTGTTTGTTGCCACATGTTATAGTAGTCATCGCGCGTAAATAGTGTCATAATGCCGCGACCGCGACACCACCTCGTATCACACCCTCGTTCAAATCACCCTCAAGCTTGAAATGTGGCGCTTTCTTTGTTTTCGCTACCATCACCTGGTTCTGCTTAAATTCGATTTTGTGAATGATTAAAGTACACTCTTATACCGACTCACTTCTAACCTATCAACATTATTCTCTTAGTGATTAGTTTTCATAGTCATGGACGCCACTATAACACTATTTGGGAAATATTTTGCAGGTACAAAGTTGACCCAAATGAGATCCCTGTGGAACAACAGGCAGGGTCAACCCTACCTCTCATGGAGATACCGGGTCGGGATGTTGAGGCGGATGAAGATTATAATCCGTTTGAACACCGGAAACTGGCTCATCCAACATCGTAAGTTTATCTTTTAAATATTTTTAATTGTAACAATTAGTTTTCAGAACAGAGCTTTTTACTTTATTCATTTTCTAAATTTCCCTTATGGGATTCATCCTTAATATCGCTTGAACCTCCGTAAAAATAAAACATTATATACACGAATTATGCACATTTATATGTAAATGTGAAACAGCTGATTTCCAAAATTTTTATTTCTTTTTTCCAGGGATATGGATACCTTAATACATTTGCTGAAAGGTTCCCTGGGTAGTGGTATTTTAGCTATGCCTATGGCATTTCGGAACGCTGGTCTCTTCTTTGGTCTGGTAGCTACTTTCCTCATTGGTGGAATTTGCACTTACTGCGTTCATGTGCTCGTCCGAACAGCACACGATTTGTGTAGAAGGATGCAGAAACCATCGCTTGGATTTGCTGAAACCGCAGAAGCTGCGTTCTTATCAGGACCTCCGGCTGCACATAAATTTTCGAGGCTAGCTAAGTAAGTACTTATTCCAAACAAGTACAGAGAGTTATAAAATATTAGACCAGGTTTTCATTGTAGTTAAGTATAACATGTTTCCGTAAGAACTTGAAAAAGCATTCTTTGTAAACGTCTATTTAACTAAAAGGGATTATTATTATTATTTTTGAAGGCGAACAAGAAGTTACTATTGTTTTTCAAACACCCCAGAGACTGAAACTATGAAATCCATACTATTTTATTTTGGAAAACAAAATATAATATTAATATTCAAGATTCTTACTTGGAGAATTTTAAACTGCGTTTAGAAACTATCAATTCCTATTATGACCTGAAGAGGCCTTGAAATCCCGAAATTTATTTTCTAGGTATATTCCCATAGTTAGTAGACTGAGGTGTGCCTTAATTTTAAGTCACTATGGCTATATTTTTTGTAATACCTATGATTAAAAATATAACAATATATAAAATATTTCTATTTTTGCAGGGCTATGATCAACTGGTTCCTAGTTATAGACTTATTGGGATGCTGTTGTGTATACATCGTCTTCGTATCAAAGAACGTAAAACAAGTAGTGGATTATTACGCTAAGGGAAGTGACTGGGATGACATTGATATCAGAGTCTATATGGCTTCATTATTACCCTTCCTTATAGCAGTCAATTTGATCAGAAACCTGAAATATTTGGCACCATTCTCGATGATTGCAAACCTCCTGGTAGGAACCGGCATGGGAATAACCGTTTACTACCTGTTCCAAGACATTCCAAGCATACAAGAAAGGTCACCTTTTGCTGGATTTGAACGCTTACCTATGTTCTTTGGTACGGCCATTTTCGCTTTGGAAGGAATCGGTGTTGTCATGCCCCTGGAAAATAATATGAAAACACCAACTCACTTCATCGGTTGCCCTGGTGTATTGAACACGGGAATGTTTTTCGTCGTTTCTTTATATGCTTTCGTTGGATTTACTGGCTACTTGAAATATGGAGATGGTACGAAGAGCAGTATTACCTTAAATTTACCAGAAGATGAAATGTAAGTAAAATATACTGTAAAATGGGATTATAATTAACTTTTTATAGAACATTTTTTCGCTAACCTAATGTTTTATTTTCAGTTTGGGTCAATCCGTGAAGTTAATGATCGCTGTCGCTATTTTCTTCACGTACAGTCTTCAGTTTTACGTGCCAATGGAAATTATATGGAAAAATGTACGCCATTGGTTTGGCGCTAAGAAGAATCTCGCCGAGTACAGTATCAGAATAGCTCTAGTTATCGTAACAGTCTGCATTGCTATTGCTATTCCAAACCTTGGGCCGTTCATTTCACTCGTTGGCGCTGTTTGCCTTTCTTTTCTTGGATTGATATTCCCGGCGGTAATTGAAACTGTTACTTATTGGGACCGGCCTAACGGTCTAGGCCGCTTCAACTGGGTACTCTGGAAAAATACCTTCCTAATCTCTTTCGGGGTTCTTGGTTTCTTGACAGGTTCCTATGTAAGTATTATCGACATTATTAAAGGAGAGGAATAAGAATAGCAATGCATGACCCATTTTTAGAACTACATTTGTAAAATTAAGAACTATAAATAAACAATAAAGTTGATTTTAACTCTGTAGGTACACGTACTTTTGTATTGTACTAAAGAAACATTACTGTTATTTATATGGTTACGATATGAGTTTCTGTAATGCTCAAATAATCTTTGTTTGAGATTAGTGTACCTACCTACCCTTTTTCGATTAAGAATATTTTTAATTGTTTTTACGCGTGCAGTAGGTTGTGTTTTCGATTGTTATTATTTAGCCCCGAAACTGTAGCCATTTAGTTATAAGACAATGTAGATACTACCTTACTTTAAAAAATGTGTGAGAATTTTCTAGTGCATTATCGAAATGTGATACAATTTTAGGTTTAATAAAAGGCATCTATTGCCATATTAAGAAAGATAATAGGTATAAAATTCTGTGGAAGTTTAATTTCGGAAATCGTAGTCACAATAAAAATTATGGTTATATGTGGATATACATCGTTCCGCTTGTTTGCTGAATATGTGTTACAAATTTTGGGGTTTAATATTAGAATTGTTCGTGATAACAATTATGGCATTTTTTCATTACCAAAAAGGAAAAAATATCTGCTTAGATAGTTTATAGATTTTCATATCGAGCTTTTGAATTTATAAACTGAAGCATTTAGAATGCCTAAAGGTGCATAACGTAAGATTAATTCTTAGTCTCATGATCTTGATGAAAAGTATTAGCAATTTTGATTAGTTTTTATATATATGTACGTACATGTATAATGACAGAAAAGAATCTTCGTTAGAGTATTTTTATATTTGATAAAACTTTGTTGTATATCTTAAGAGGTAATCTATAGATTTTTCAACTCCAAAACGCTGTCGAATAACACCTTCCTATGAATACTTAGTAAAAAAATTTTTGGCGTAGTTATTTATTAGAGTAAAGACTGTATATTTTTTTGTAAATTTTGCTACACTTATATAAATATTTTCCGTGTTAAACATCCATGCTTCCATATAAAATGTCTCATAAGCTGAACAAACTGTAAGATGTTCCTCATATGAACCAGTTTCTGATATTTATTCTTAGAGACCATTAATGTAGGTGGTAATGCAAAAAAGTAGTATAAATGTGAGTAAGACTAAAACGTAATGAAATATACATAAAATGATTTCTGTAATAATTATAAGACAGGCCTTTTTTCTGGCAGTATAGATCATTCGTTAGTTATAAGTTCTTATTCGGCTAAAGGCCAATATGCTTTTTTTATGAAAAAGGAATTTTTCCTGTGTATTATGTTCTTCGTGAATTCAAACTTTTCATAACTTAGCAATCCTCTGTCTAAACATGGTTTGCACGTAACATATATTTTTATAGGTTTAGGCATATCATGATATAGCATTCAGAGAATAATAAAATGGACTTGTATTGGGGTGGGATGGTGAATAATAACAAAACTATCGGTTAAGGATAGTTATAAAGTGAAGTATATACCTAAGTATCAGAAATTGGGTATATGTATTATTCTTTATCCAGTTGAATACAAATAATTGCTCCTAGAAAGTTTGAGGATGTAAATCGAGTTACAATTGTTTTCAATCGTTTCAACTTATTCATAGCAAGTTTTTTGTTAGGATTAATCTATTCGTCCCGATTAACTGATTTTTCATGAAATAATGGTGTGTATATCATGATCTGCCTCATGCGGAGCTAATTTAATTTAAATCAGTGCTAACTAAAACCAGCATTTGGCAGGTAACTACATAATCTGCTGACTGCTGGTTAGCCCTTATTGCTTAAGTCGAAATGTAATCGAATATGTACGATATTTTTCATAGAGTATTCAAAAACTGTTGTCTATAATAATATCACTGACTGTTCGATATTTTTTTAAAGAAATAGTCACTACAGTAAGTATTCAGGTCAATATGTCAATTTAGAAAAAATAACCAAATATTTTGGAAACCCGTTTAAATAGTAAAATGATAAAAAAATATTTAATTTTGTTATAAATCTGGCAAACTATTTAGTAAAATAATTCCTATTAGAGATCTATTAAAAGTACTACCTATTTTAGATAGTAACGATTGTTTTGTTACAGTATTAAATAGATCATACTTAAGGAAAAATTGTCTTTCATTTAAATAGAAACGATTCCTCGAATACCTTTATAGGGGAAGGTGGGTAAGACGGGGTAGCGAGGTAAGATGGGGACCCTATCAAAATAGATAATGCAGTGTTACTAGAACATTCGTTTTAACGCCATCTGACGGTGTCTAGCAGTACTTATTAGTGTCACTAAAAGTTTGGTCGGAGAAGTGCACGTTTCTACTTGGTGAGTATGTTTTTATAATTTTAAGTGGTTTTATCTAACTATTGATGTATATAAAGTGCGTGACTGTTCATAATATATAATATACAATATGCGTGACATATTTTTTTATTGGTGTTTGTTTATTTTACAACTCTAAACTCATTAATTAGTTCGGGCTTGCCTTGATTTATAACCTTGAAAATTTTAATACAACTTATAACTCCAGTTTGGGAAAGATGGGGTACCTACTTGTGGGCAAGACGGGGTACCCCATCTTACCCACTAATTTGATATTATTTTTGGATTTCGATTTAATTCAAAAGTATCGTTATTAGTTGGGTTAATTTAATTTTTTTTTATAGATCATGCCTCGAAATTATAGAAGAAAAACTGATAGAGGAGGGTGGAGTGAAGAACAAATGAAATTGGCCATTCAAGAAGTTTTAGATGGAAAAAAGGGTTACAAATCGGCCAGCAAGGCTTATAATGTCCCTCAGACAACACTTGAGCGTAAAGTTAACCTAGCGAGAAAAAGCGAGATCGGTGTAATCAATGTAAAGATTCCCTTGGGTCCAATTACAACAGTGTTTTCCAAAGAAGAAGAACAAATACTTGTAACTTATTTAAAGGAAATGGAAGGAAGATTATTTGGTTTGTCAACTACCGAATTCCAGAAGTTAGCCTATGAGCTAGCAGTTCGTAATAATAAACAACATAAATTTAATAATCTCAAGGAAAAAGCTGGTAAGGATTGGCTGCGAGGTTTTCTAAAGCGTCATCCTGACTTGAGTTTACGAAAGCCAGAAAATACGTCAGCGGCTCGAGCTGCTGGGTTTAATAGAGTGTCTGTTGGAAAATTTTTCGAACTACTAGGAAAAACCCTTGATGATAACCCTTTTACTCCAGACAGAATTTATAACTGTGACGAGACAGGTGTTTCAGTGGTGCCAAAATCACGCTCCAGAGTGATCGCAGCAACAGGTAAAAAGCAAGTGGGAGCTTTGACATCGGCCGAGCGAGGCACAACCATAACGATTGAAATTTGTTTCAACGCTGCTGGGACATACCTTCCTCCTATGTTTATATATCCCAGAAAACGTATGAAGCCCGAACTGCTCAATGGAGCTCCACCGAACTCGTGGGCTGAATGTTCAGATTCTGGGTGGATCACTGCAGAGATTTTCTTGAAATGGTTCCAGAAGTTTGTGAAACTTACCAACGCTTCTAAAGCCAACCCAGTCATGCTGATTTTAGATGGTCATGCGTCTCATACCCAAAATTTGCAATTAATCGACGAAGCACGTAAATATGGCGTGACAATAATATGCTTCCCACCACACACCACTCATAAACTGCAGCCAGCAGATGTTGGTTTTATGCGGCCTTTGAGTATCTTTTATGATCAGGCTATAACAGCATGGTTAAGGTCAAATCCTGGGAAAGTAGTTTCCCAATTTCAAGTGGCTGAACTCTTCGGGCAAGCGTTTATCCGGACAGCAACAATGCCAACTGCAATTAACGCATTTAAAGCATGTGGGATCTCGCCTTATAATGCACACATTTTTACCGATGATGACTTCCTTGCTGCTGAGGCCACCGAAATCGTATTGAACGCTGAAGAGGAACCCGCCAACTGCATTGCCCTCGATTCTTCAGCAAACACTCTAACTCAACCAACTGCTACAACCTCACATCTAGTACACCAAGCAACAGTAAATGATTCTATAGATAATTCAGCATTCCATCTGGTTAGCCCGAAACAGTTAATGCCTTATCCACGAATGGCTGAAAAAAGACTGAGACAAGTTCGAAGACGAGGAAAAACAGCTATTATCACTGCTTCTCCATATAAAACAGAATTAGAAGAAAGACAAAACTGTAAGAAACGGACACCAAAAATAACGAACAAAAAGAAAATATCAAATAAGAGATCTAAAAAAACCAAGAAAGCTGATGAAGAAGCTCAGACATCAGATGACGAAGATAGTACAGAATGCCTGTACTGTCACGGCTTGTATTGCGAGTCTACTGAAGGATGGATCACTTGCCAGACTTGCGGTAAGTGGGCGCATTGTAGCTGTGCAGGAGTGGAAGATAACGATGACGAAGCTGTCCATACCTGCCCGGTTTGTAAAGATGACGACGTTTAAATATTCTATACCCCATCTTACCCAAGGGAGTACCCCGTCTTGCCCTATAGGTGGGGTAAGATGGGGAGATTTAATTATTTTTTTTAAGTTAATATTTCTATGAGAAGACTTATTATTTTTTTGTTTTGACTGATTATAATTAAAGGAAGAAAGACTGATTATTTTTTAATAAAAGTTCCTACATTGTGCAATCGAAAACATAGGGTTTTATTTATGATATACGTTAAGGTCCCCGTCTTACCCCACCTTCCCCTAGCCGACTAAGAGCCGACTTTATAATAGAATGCCTAAAGGTGCATAGCATAACGACAATAGCGATAACGTAATTTATGTATATACACATCCAAAAGTCAAAATATATTCAACGAATCAGTCGGAAAAGTGATAAAGCAACAAGTATAAAATAGAAAGCGGAGAGCGTAGATATTTTTTTACTTTATACATAGTATAAAACAAAGTAGTTTCCCGCTGTCTGTACGCTGTGATCTTTTTAAACTACACCACGGATCTTAATGAGGTGCTTATCAATTGTACATAATGATTCAAGATCCGCAGGAGCTTAATAAGAAACACCACCTCAACCATTAACGGCCCGGCCCATCTTGATATCGAGTTGTTTACACTAATGCTCGTGATGCTAATTTGCTCAACATAATTTGTTTAACATACAAAAGAAATGTTCACAAAACTAACGGAAACATACAAATACAATTGATACAAATGTTTCAAACCTTTTAACTGAATTGAGGCACACTTTACACTAAGTGGATAGGGAGTTAAGTCATTGCTCGCGTTAACTGAGCCATAGTAACCCTAGTAGCATTTTGGGTTGGCCAACCGTGCAATACGGTCGGGAACAAGTTGGGAAAACGTTAGTGAGATTTATTACAAAGTTCCAACTATCTGCCAACAGTTTTATTGCAGGAAAAAATACCATACGCACATCCAACTATGGCCCTACTGTCATTTATTGTTATTTTTTCTCACAAATATTTCTCACGTTAACCCAACGAAGGACCTACTATGATTTTTGGTTGGGTTGCCATCTTAAATGCCATACCAAAATGTTATATGGGCCCTACCATAGTTTTTCATTCATATCCCAACTGAAAAGCCCTACAAATTTTCAACCTGGGCCCTACCACGACTTTTAGTTGGAATCCTAACAAAAGTTCCACACAAAAATCTGCCGTGAGCCCAACCACAGTATTTTGATAATATGCCAACTGAAAATTCTTACTTATTTTCAAACTAGGCCCTACCACTACTTTTAGTTGGTATTGTTACGAACATTCCATACAAAATCAGGCGTAAGCCCAACCATAGTATTTTTATTAATATCCCAACTGAAAAGCCCTACAAATTTTCAACCTGGGCCCTACCATGACTTTTAGTTGGAATCCTAACAAAAATTCCACACAAAAATCTGCCGTGAGCCCAACCACAGTATTTTGATAATATGCCAACTGAAAATTCTTACTTATTTTCAAACTAGGCCCTACCACTACTTTTAGTTAGTATTGTTATGAACATTCCATACAAAATCAGGCCTAAGCCCAACCATAGTATTTTTATTAATATCCCAACTGAAAAGCCCTACAAATTTTCAACCTGGGCCCTACCATGACTTTCAGTTGGAATCCTAACAAAAGTTCCACACAAAAATCTGCCGTGAGCCCAACCACAGTATTTTGATAATATGCCAACTGAAAATTCTTACTTATTTTCAAACTAGGCCCTACCACGAGTTTGAAGCAGAAATTTTAACAAAAATTCCATAGAAAATATGGCGTAAGGCCAACCACGCTATTTTTATTAGTATCCCAACTAAAAAGCCCTACTTTTTTTCAAACTAGGCCCTACCACGACTTTTAGCCGGAATCCTAACAAAAATCCCACACAAAAATCTGCCGTGAGATCAACCACAGTATTTTGATAATATGCCAACTGAAAAGTCTTACTTATTTTCAAACTAGGCCTTACTTTTAGTTAGTATTGTAACGAAAATTCCATACAAAATCAGGCGTAAGCCCAACCATAGTATTTTTCTTAATATCCCAACTGAAAAACCTTATTAATTTTCAAACTAACCCCTACCACGACTTTAGTTTTGAGTTTAGTACTAACATTAATATTTGTGAACATGCACAAAACTTTACAGACAGACTTCTTATTTATTCTTCTTTTATCTTGTAAACCTCTCATATAAAAATACTTCTGAAAAATCAAGTTTTATCATTTCATATTTTGCGGATTAAACTAATTAATAAACCATTTTTTTTCCGGAGGTATAATTATTTTATTTAACGTTGATAATTCATTATATTTTTTTTTTTAGTTTTATTGTGATTATTATCTTCGTAGCACTTTTTAATCTTTATGTAGTGCCGTCCTTGGCCCATCTTCTTTCATAAAAATTGGTTTGAGCCCAACTGCAGTATTTTTATTAATATCCCTACTGAAAATGCAAAGAATGTCCCAAACATACTACCCCATCCTACCACAGTTTTGAGTTAGATTTTTAAGAAAAAGTTAATACAGATATCTGATGAGGGCCCTATCTAGTATTTTAATAATATCTCAACGACTCCCAACCGAAAACGCCAACAAAGGCTCAAAGAGGCGCCATCTTATTTTTGATTTAGCTAATGTTGCT